GCCGCTTCACATTGCTTCCAGCGCCCTTGATTTTTTTCACCACTCGCGTGCATGGCTATTTTCAACCCCTCGAAAGACGGACTTGAACCAAGTCTAATGCTGGCACAGACTGTTCAAGTGTAAAAGATATACTCAGTTTTAGCAAGCATTGAGCATTTGTTTGACTTGGACCTGCAACATTGTTTTCAGGATTATACTGGGCCATATCGTGAACAAGAAGCAAAGTACATGGAGAGAACTGACGAAGCAATTTTCAACCGAGCAGCTGAAGAACATATACGTCAACCTGCTCCTTATGATGATGTTGACTCAGTCAAGGTGAAACCATAATTTTGTGCTCCACGCCCATCCCCATGGAATGACATTGCCCCCGATCTTTTGATGCGCCCTACGCCCCTGTTTACACAGTACAACTTAAGTTGTAATTTAAATCGGCCTTACTCTCGATTTCAATTTGCTTGTCAAAACTGACTTCCAATGTTTACTGTACTTGTAAATTCGGAATGTTCATTGTAAAGTTCTGAAGTTTGTGTTGAAGTTTGTTCCGATGGTTTACTATGATTCGATAGCAAGCGATTTGATTGGCTGGTTCATTTAACTAGCCAATTACAACTTACTAAACTTGATTATCAGAAATCATCGCAATGAACTTCAACAGAAACTTCAGAACTTTATAACGAACATTCCGAATTTAAGAGTAAACATTGGAAGTCAGTTTTGAAAAGCAAATTGAAATTGAGAGTAATATAACCTCGTATTTTCTTGTAGAATTTTGGTGGTGCAAGTCAAGGTATCAGTCGCATACCATCAGACGAGCAACTGTGTCTGTCACCCCCCTGGCCACCAGGGTATGAAGTGGATGATGGGATACCGTTAGAGGACAGTAAAGTTGCAGAAGCTGCCCCAAGTGAGGGAAACAGCTATCATGTTGACGATATGATATCACAAGCGAAGTTACGAGCTGATGCTAGGATTGGTGCTACAACATGGCAAGAAAAGGACGCAATGGATTTTACTCGGGTAATCTTTCTTTATGTTATAAACCTTTCAATGCTGGTTAATTTTTGAAACAGAGATGTATGGAAATGTATTTTCAGAATTAAAACCCTTCGAGAAAGTTCTACCAAGAACCTGTTGAATTGTGGTAGTTTAGGATGTTCTCTGAGTTCCTTACTTTTAAAAATGTATGAGGCAACTTAGCGTTGTTTTGCAAGTGATGAGTGAGTGCCTAGCTTCTATACTGTATTTTAAACATGACTCTGTGTTGTAGAATTATGCAGAGGAAGGGTCTTTGGAGAATTCCCGACGTCCCTCATCAGAAGATATATCTTTGACTCCGCCTTGGTTAGACACTGATAAAGAATCATCTTGCAAGGTATTTGTCATTCTGGTACATATTTTCTGTGAAACAAGTTTGATTCACGTGTGGGAAGTGTGCTTCCAGTAATAAGTTTAGAAAGCTTCGGATTGATACAACTGCATGAAAAATACAAGAAAAATGTCGACGTTTCGAGCGAAGTCCCGGCCCTTTGACTAACTTCCCGACGATTGACGAAAGTCCTTCACTGAACACGTTGAAGTTCTCCTTGTATTATTCAGGTAGTTGTATCGAATTGCGGTCTGGGGGAAGGGGATGATGGGTGGTAGGGGATGATGGGTGGTAGGGGAAGGGCCTGTCCCGAGGTAGCAGGGCTTGAAGGAAATCTTAACAACCATGCCCCACTATGGACGCAACAACATATGCTTGACAGATATTATTCCTTCAATTTAAAATCATGGTCAGCTAGAACACTATATGTTTATGCACATGCAGATTTAGCACAAAAATACTCCGTTGCACTTCCTCTGCAGGAAATTTTTGTCTCCAGGTTGTGCTCCCAGGAAGAAAATTATTTTTTTCTGCCCTGATTATATTGAGATTATACGCACAAACCATTCAAGATAATACATTTAGAACTGATAGAACTACCCAGAATAAACACGAGGAGCGTAGTGGAAATAGCCTGGGTACGAGGTTTGTATAAACAAAGTAAGTCCTTCTTCCTTACAGGATGCTGAGGAACAAGTCCTAGATGACAGTGAACTTCCATCTGCAGATCCACCAACAACCAGTGCAATCCTCACAAGTACACCAATAACAACACATACACCACTACCAAAAACTAACTCTCTTCCCTCTGTCACAAAACCTCCTCTGACTGAGCCTTCACAAAGCCCTCGTGCTGCAAAAAGAACACCAACTATCCCACCTGACCCCACAAGTGTACCTGGAAATACCTCAGAAACCCTTCCTCCACAAAGACATACGCCCCAAGGACAAAATCCAGATCGGAACAACGTATGTGCAAATCCTGTAGCAGCCTCGCGCCATCCACAAATGAAACCTTATGGGGAGATATATAATAATAGATATCCATCACCCCACAAACCGTATAAGGGTAATGACACGTACTACGACCCTTCTAATATGGGAACCGTACCTATATCTTATCCGGTAAACCTACCCTACGGTAACAATCTCCCCAATCCCCGAATGCCCTACACTGCAGCTAGCCCTGGTGCAGAATATTTACAACAATCAAATCTAAAACCATACAACAGAATGCCAACATTCAATCCACGTCAATATCGGCCAAGACTGCAAGGGATTTCTAACAGATCCCAAATAAATCCTACAAATCCCTCATATTCCAATATACCACACCCATACCCTAATCCAGGCTACTTCAGCCCGCCTCACGCTCCGAGGACAACGCCGCCTCGTCAGGCAATAAACAGGTATGAGTCGCCTTACTACGGTCCTCAAGCAGGCGACTGGCAATACCAAGTCAGACAACCTCAGATGCCAATTCAGACCCAACCCCCTCCAATAAACACGGCTGATTTTGCCGCTGATGAAGTGATTAATTTTGCTACTGAAGAGAAGCGTATTCTGCCTCCACCTGATCGTCCCATGGGAGTACCGGCACCCGATATACATCGAAATATGCCAGCTCCGGAACATCAACGGGGAATACCCGAGGTCCATCGTAACGTGTCCGAAATGCCACGTAACGTTCCAGAGTTCCATCGTGATGTTCCAGAATTCCGTCGAGACCTTATGGCCGCCGACAACCGCCGACGTATTCCAATGCACGATCATCAGCGCGTAGTACCAGAGTTCCCACCTAACATTCCTAACAGGGGCATCTATTCGGACTTTCCCGATGATATCACGACAGTTTCCGACAGTGACGTCAGTCCTGTGATGTCAACACGAAGTGGAAGTCAGTCCAGTCTTGTTGTGCAGTACTCTAACACGCCACATCAAGATAGTACTGAGACAGAAAGCGTGATGAGCTTCACAAGTGGCGCGTCCACGCACCAAGACCTCGACTCAAAAATTGATCAAGTTCGAAACATTTTGGCCGTCATAGACACACGAGACGCCAAGGAGACAGCACAGTTTTTGTACAGTCTTTCAAGTTCCAAAGAAAACTGCCAGGCTATGAGATTATCTGGGTGTTTGCCACTCTTGATACAACTTCAACATAAGTCAAAACTGCGAGACCCGCGTGTAGCACAAGAAGTTCGCGCGAGATCCACGCACGCCATTCGGAACATTATTGTGGCAGGCTCGGAAGATAAACGTGGCAAAAGAGAACTTCGCGTGCTTCGGTTGATTGAAGTCGTACGCAGTTATTGTACCGAGGTTCGTTATGTTCGTAACGTTCCCAGCTCGTCCAAACTTAGCGCACTGAATAACGCATTGGCCGCCATTACGAAACTGTCTTTTGAAGAAGAACATCGAGTTGCAATTGGGGAGCTGGGCGGGGTCGAGGCCATTGGCGAATTCTTGGAACTTAGTTTTGTGAACAAAGACGGAGATCTCTCATTGGGTAAGTTATCTATTTATTCTCAGAACTATAAATGCCAATACAACCGTGAACAGATACTGTGTCTGTCAACAAACACAGCACTCCTTATCACGCCTAAGGATCAACAAGCGTCTTGTTGATAAATTATTTTCTCATAATTTATTTTCATATTTCAGGCACCAATGTGCGTAAGTGTGCCTCAATGACCCTCACGAATATGACGTTTGAAAAAACCCGCAGTAAGGCGTTGCTAGGCAACTCAGCAGGTATCGTCAGAGCCTTGTTGAAAAACCTCAATGTTTTGAACGACGAAGGCCTCATTGAAGTCTCGGCGAGTGTTCTTCGGAATCTATCGTGTAAATCCGACGAACGTAGTAAAATGGTTTTACAAGAATGCAATGCGGTCTCAGAATTGATGACTGCAGCGCAGAAAGTCAGTGTTGAATCAACCTTGCGTACGGTACTTTTTGCAGTTTGGAACATGTCGGCTCATAGTTCAGAGAATAAAGTAAAGATATGCGAGACTCACAAAGCACTTGGATTTTTGGTACAAAATTTGGCGTACAAAAGTCCCAGTAATTCTCTGAAAGTGGTCGAGAGTAGTGGTGGAATATTGCGCAATTTATCCTCACAGATCGCGGTGAAATCTGAATACCGTGCGACGTTGCGTGAGCACGAGTGTTTTAAATTTCTGCTCGCGAACTTACGTTCTCCCAGTCTGCGTGTTGTAGGAAACGCGTGCGGAATATTATGGAACTTGTCAGCACGTTGTGAAACGGACCAGGAGTTACTTCTTAAAATGGGAGCGCTGCCTTTGCTTAAACCTCTCTTCACGTCTAAAAATAAATCGATTTCCAAAGGAGCCGGGGCCGCCATCAAGAACTTGCAGAATTATAAAACTGCTCATCCAGGTCGTGATTCTCCGTCAGAGACTCGGAAACAGAACGGAATTCTTCGGCAAGAGAACGGATCACCTTCGACACCTCGAACGAAAGGAAAGTCACGTGATGCACATTCATTGAATAGTTTTACCGGAAGCGCAGACGACATGACCAAGGAAAATGCAAAACAGAGTTCACGCTCTAAAGAGGTTTGATCTTTTTAAATACTTTTAGCTCTCAGTTGTAACAATGCTGTAACAACATTGTTGACAACTTGTTCTGAGGATGCAGCACAACCTTGTTCAAGTCTGTCGATATCAACTGGGAACAGGTTGTACGTTTTTACGCGTGTACACACGCAAAAATTTCGCATCTTGTAGCAAGTTGTCAAGAAGCCGTCAGTGGCAAGACAACAAACCGTTGTCTTGCCACTGCTTGTCACAAGTTGTCAACAAGTTTGGAACAAGCTGTTAACAATTTGTAACAACCTTGTTGATATTATCAGGCTTGTTACAAAGTTATTCCAACAAGTCCGATACAGTCATGATATATTAGTATTGTTACAACCTTGTGTCGTCGACCTTGTAACATTTTTGTTCATCATGACTGTAGAACAACCTTGTGACAAGTCTGATAATGCCATCAAGCTTGTTACAAGTTGTTAGCAGCTTGTTCCAAACTTGTTTCAACAACTGGGAACGAGCTGTGCGAAGACAACTTGTTGACAGCTTGTGGACAGATTTGTAACAACTTGTTTGTAGACTTGTGGGTTTTTACGCATGTAGTAAGCCTTGAACCTTTGACATGTTTGCGCTGCATGCTAGCTTTAATCTAACCATCGCCATGTTGCTAATGAACCCTTACAACTGTCTAGAATGGTGAAAATGACGCAGGTAATAGAACGAAAGGCGTACGATGGTCAGACGACAAACGTGGAAAAGATCCACAAAGGAAAACATCAAACGATCGAAAACGAGGCGATAGTTCCCCGGATGAACAGACCGCGCAAACATCGAGAAACCTGGGAACGAGGGATAGTGTGAATGATGTGACAAGTGGTGTTGCACAGCTACGTATCGGAGAAAAGTCCCGGAGTAAGAAGTCCGAGGGTTCTTATTCATCACCACGAACTAAGAAGAAGTCTAAGACTAAAAAACATCATTCAGGAGGCGATGACGTAACCGATGAGAACTTACGGTTGTCACAAGAGTCTCAATTAAATCGCTCGACGTCAAGTCGTCAAGGTTCGGCTAATGGTCGGCGCCATGCGTCGTCTGACGTTCAACACGCGGAAACATCTGCAAAGCATCCTGGGAAAGTGACGAAGGGTAAAGATGGACGGAAAGGGACATCAGGTGGTCGCGAAGATGATCCGGAAGTAGCACGGTCTGGAGACGAAAGTCCACGAAACTCTCCGATGTCTGGCCGTCACAATGTTAGAACTACCCGCATGAATTCCGAGGAAAATGGTGAGCATCAATCACATATTTTGTTCTAACAAAATTAATAACTGGCATCGCTCCAGGGTGCCAATATCTCCAGAGAATTTTCAATGAGGTCCTTTCTAACTTTGAATATATATCTTGGATGTCAATACAGTACCTTCGGTCCTACATAAAGCCCACATTACATGTAGAATGAACATTGGCATAATTACTTTTGGCAGCATTTTTCATCAACTTTAAACATCTTGTTTTTGTCTTATGTGTTGAAGATTACCACAAACTGACACACACACAGTTTTTAATGCAGCCCCCCCCCCCCCCCCCCCCCCCCCCCCCCCCTCGGCATCTGGCGTCCGTGTTGACATAAACGTGGATTTTAAGCTTGGAAGGCTGAATGTTTAATCCTCCATGCCTATGTCAACGTCGACATGTTTTTGTTCTCGGCTATTTGTGGTGCTTGTTTCCTTGTTTTGTTTGACTTGCGTGGGCTTTGATGATTAACTTCCTGTTTTTTGTATGGAAAGATCTCATGACATATTGATAACTGTCTTCCTTATCTAGACGCCTTCCTGCTTCAGCTGGCTCTACTCACATCCTGTTCGCCTGCTTGGCATCTTTATTACCTTGAATCCAATTCTCTCTGATATAGCTTTCCCTGAAAGCTGGTTCACACCAGCAAAGTTTCCTTGATCACAGTAGGAATTTTGTATTTTGAGTAAATTCTAAGTTTTGAAGGATTTGTAAGAAATCTTTGAGGGAACTGACTCATTAAACACACAGTCGGTTCCCTCAAAGATTTCTTACAAATCCTTTAAAACCTAGAATTTAACTAGTCTATGGAAGATTCCTACTGTAATCACAGAACCTTCAACTTGCAGTTCTCAGAATGAGAAAATAATGTTAATTCGTTTCATTTTATGTACTATTTAAAACACGAACAGCAGTGTTTTATGTCTGATAGGTCTGATAAAACACGCACTGTGAATGTTTTAAATAGTACTTCAAAAACGATCGATCTAGTAAGTTCATTGGCGAAGTAATCGAAGTCGTCAAAAAATACGTTGTGTAAGACGAGAAAATCAAAGTTAAAGTTTATGTAAATCAAGGGAAATCTCTATCACGTGCGTATCACAAGATACGACACACTTATGATTTTTCTTTGTGCCCTCATGAATTATGAATGATTTTTGAAGTACTAATAAAGTGTTCATGAGGTAGTCAATATTTCTGAAGTTGGCCGCCATCTGCTGTTCTGTAACCTTACTGAAACCCACCAATGTTGTGTTTTTTACAGATCGTGATTTCAACGACGAAAAAGGCCCAAGAGATGTAGCGCGGTGTCAGTGCGCAGACGACTCCGAGGTCTGGGTGAAGAGAAATAAAATCTGCAGTCATTGTCAGAAAAGAAGAGTTTCGCACTCCTCCGATTCCACGAGCGGCTCTCGACGAAGTTCATACGAGTCTTTGTCGTCGTCAAACCGACAGCTTAATCGGAAGGAACCACAAACTAACGGAACTGCCTACGTGACAACAATATAAGGTCTTGTCCTATTGGTGGCTTTGACTGAGAGTAATGGTGCAGTAGATGGTAGTCTTTTGTGAGACTTGTCAAAACAAGAACATTGAACTGCAGCAAAATACAAAGCTAGCACACATAACGAAAATAATTAACATTACTTTCTGGTCTTTCTCACTGCCGTTTAACCACCATGTGCTGCACGATATTTCTGGGTGAAACCTATATTAACCTCTTGGCATTTTACCTTTTTTAGTGGCTGTTATTTTAACAGGCAAAAGTAAGACCACAAGGATTGTTTGGTTAAATTTGCCTGTGAAAAAATATGCATGATTAAAAAGAAATATTCTGTTAATATTATCAGGGGAATTTAAAGAAAACAACTTCAACCTTTTCTTTTGTGTGCGTTTATTTCTGGTGAAAATAAGAATTAGAAATCTCGAACTTGAACATGTTTTGTGAGATGGTTTTCGCATTGTTCACATTTTATTTTGTTTTAATGCCTCATTTTCTACATTTAGTTACGCCTTACAAATCTACTTACTAGATGTTTGTTTAACAAAGTTGAATCCCCATGAAGTAAATTGGTTTGAATTAACGTCGTTATAAAGTATACCTCAAAGACCTGAAAGTCTCGTGAAAGTATGCCGAAAATGCGTCTGTGCTTGTTGTGTGACGTAATGCTTGGGGAATGCGTCACGTGACGTTGTTTGGGCTCGGCTTCGGCGGCCATTTTATATATCCGTTTCGAAGTTTCAAAAGCTTTTGACAATCCTTTTCAATCTCCTTTATATGGTGTGTGTTTGGAGATCTTTTGCGATTTGAGCGAAATAGAAGTCCTAATACAGCCTTGAGGAGAAGAACAGCGCATCCCAGTGTCATTTTGGGATATTTTCTGAACGTTTTAGTCCAAGGACTTTGACGGAAATATGGGAACGAAGGACGACGAGTATGACTACTTATTCAAAGGTGATTGTTTTGAATTTGGCGCAAGCTGAAATTATTGCGCTTTGTGTTTGTACAACAACTGAGTTTTAAATGCATGAATCGTACGATTAGTATCAAGAATTTAGTTTGTCTTATATTTGTATACAGTTGTTTTAATTGGAGATTCTGGCGTCGGGAAATCAAACTTGCTGTCAAGGTTCACGCGAAACGAGTTTAATTTAGAGTCAAAATCCACCATCGGCGTAGAGTTTGCGACGAGAAGCATTCAGGTCGATAATAAAACGATAAAAGCTCAAATTTGGGATACTGGTAAGTTTTAGTTTGCATTTTTTGTCGGAAAAATATTAAACTTGAGCAATATCTAAACAATATACCTTTGCCTTTCTAGTTGTCTTGCCCTCTTTATTAAAAACAATCAATTTTACTCGCAGAACACCTAATGATGTGTTTTTACTCCATGTTTGGGTTTAGGATTCAAGTAATTTCTGTGGTTTTAATTTTTAATATATAAATTCATTAATTTTGGGGTTTTAATAGATTGACAATGTAAAATATTTTTGCAGACGACCTTTATACTACTTGCAAATATGACTTCCGTTTTATGAATTGTGTTTTGTAGCTGGGCAAGAAAGATACAGGGCAATAACTAGTGCGTAAGTATAAATTCATTGTATTATACAGTTTTATTTAGTGTAGTTATTTAGGCATATTGCCCTTAGGGTGTTATTTCAGGGTGTTGTATCTGTTTAAATCTTATAGCAAAGAATAAGGAACCTTTTTGAGCATAAAATCATGCCAAGACTGGTCTTATATCAATTAATTAGTTTCAATATTTGCTAGCAAGTTGGTTTGGGTGTAAAATGCTACTTATTGTGCTGTGCAAGAGTCTGTCAACAACTAGATTCTTGCTTTCTACCTGTGTCAAATTTGTTTTGCCTTTTTATACATATTCATGCTCAACGTTTCCTGGTAGACTGACAATTGACAAATTATGAGCCATTGTCACTTTGGTAGGTTAAAGTGAAAAACGAAAATGGTGCTTAATGTACTGTAAATTTATTGTACAAGTGGTTGTGTAAAACACAAAATATTGTATTACAATTGGTTTCAGAATATATATACAAACAAGGAAATGGAACTACAACTTGACTATTAATAATGATTCTTCCATGCTTAATCATCTGGAGTTGATTGTTCAAAAGCCGATAAACTTAACCCTAGGTTAGGAAATATTTCTTTAAAAATCTTGTCTGAATGGAGTTCTATTCTCTGAAGTTTTTAAATAATCAGATGTGCAGAAATACATAAACTAAGACAGCATGTTAAACTTTAACCAAAGGTTAGTGCTAACCGGCCCCTGTAATGTATGTACTCTAATTTCCACAGGTATTATCGTGGTGCAGTGGGTGCATTGTTAGTGTATGATATTGCAAAACACTTGACGTATGAAAATGTGGAGAGATGGCTGAAGGAGCTACGAGACCATGCTGACAGTAATATTGTCATCATGTTAGTTGGCAATAAAAGTGATCTGCGGCATCTTAGGGCGGTCCCAACTGACGAGGCTAAAGCCTTTGCAGGTAATTTGCTTCAGATTTCCACTTGACAATCATCTGAGTATGCCAGTTTTTTTCAGATGTTTAGATTATTCACTTATGCCACTATGCCCCTGAAGCAAACTTTTCTGCCATTTAGTTGTGGAAATATACTGAATAGAACCATAATATAGGTGGATCCAATATGTAAGTCTATAACTTACAATTCAGTTGTATTTTTTTTAGAAAAGAACAGTCTATCTTTTATTGAGACGTCAGCCTTAGATTCAACAAATGTTGAACAAGCTTTCCAAAATATTTTAACAGGTAAAGCTCTTTACTTCATCAGATTATTATTTTATAGATAATCATTGTGTTCTATTTGAATATACCCTTCTCAAAAGTATGTCAGCTATGTAGCAAATTGATTTTGTTGTTGAGACTTTAGAGTCTTCAATTATCTTATAACAAGTAACATGTTTACACCATCTCTCTTAACTATTTTATAAATATCTTGATACAGGGTTTGTAACTTGAAAGAACTGAATGTTCTTTTTGAAAAGAATAATTCAAGGCCTTGAATGTCTTGGAATTTGTAAAGAAGTGCTTGTGACTCCTTAAATTCTTCTTGCTTTAGTTTATGGATATTTTCTGAAATTGTTTGACATTCAAAACGGACATTTTGTTGAATTGATTTTGTTTGTTTATATCTGAGAAAGCTGTTTGAAATTCAGCGTGTTGAACAATTCAACGTCAGATTTTACTGATTTCTAACCCCTTCTCTTCAGTATTTAGTCGTTGAATTTGCTGATACATGGCCTTGAATGTCCTTGAAAAGTCCTTGAATTTGACTTTCTCTGACATGTACAAACCCTGTTGATAAGAATTTGATTTTGATACTTGATCACAAGGCTCTATAGTATGGGCTCTAGTCCATATAACAGTACATGTGCTGACCAACTTTCTCTAATCTATTTTGCAGAAATATATCACATTGTATCACAGAAACAAATCAGTGATACTCCTTCAAGCAACCACCCTAGCAACAACGTACAGACGATTCATGTTGCGCCCACGACAGACTCTGACAAGAAAAAAGTGAATTGTTGCAATGCTTGAACAACGTCCGTAACATCATAGAATTCCAATTACGTTGAAATTAAACAGAAAACATCCCCTTTTTACGATCAATCAATGTTCACACCCTTCAATACAGCATCTTGAAATACGATGTTATAATTATATAGAAAATGTGAAAAATATAAATATTTAACCAAGTAGATTTTGCATACGAAACTAATTTGTGATAACATAAGAAATTTGATTCCACTTGTTATTATATCATTGAATTATTTTGTCTTTTATGTAAGTTTTGTTTGTAGTAATATGGTATATTTGTAGAACAATGTTGTTGGCTGGTGTTTATTTGTGGTTAGATTATTTTTTAAGGCCTTACATAAGAGCAGGGGATATGTGGCATAAGGGCAGAATGTAAAAGTTTGCGTTTGAGGCCCATTTATACAGGCAGTTTTTGCAATTATCGTTTTCTGAGTGGAGGAATTGTGGATGTTCAGATAAAAGATACATCCACTCAGAACATTCATAACTCTTGTTTACATGCATCTGAAGAAGAAACTTGTACTAGAAGAAATTGCAGCAAAAATTGTCACTGATATGTATTGACGAACTGTCCGGGGGGAGGGGGGTTCGCACAAAAACGGAAAGAATTTGCCAAGAAAAAGCAAAGAAAAATACCTTTAAAATTTAAAATTCTATAAAAAGTTCCAGCTCAAGCAGAAAATCCTTGCTGAAAATCCCCCTGGTTTATATTATCAAAGTTTCTGTGATCACAGTAAAAGTATAAAAGCGTTTATAAATTTAGTGAATATTTATGAGCAGTTAATGTATGCAAGGTCTCGCACAGTTGGTCTCACATTGAATTCCCATGGGACTAAAAACCAATCACGTAGAGCTAGTTTGACCAATCAGAGTGACTCTTGTAAATATCCACCAACCACAACCCTGTATTCTCTGAAAGATGCATTCCGATGAAAATTTTTACTGTAAGCGAGTTGCTTGGGGAAAGAAGCACTTTTAAAGACTGAAACTGGAAGTTAAAAGCTACAAAGAAGTACAAAATGGCTTGCTTTGAAGTTGAATTGCCCGTGTTCGAACGAAAGGTAAATACATTAATAACCATATTAACTTCAGACAATATACTTGATTTCTTTCTAAAGCGAACTGTTCATGAATTGAAATGTGAGACCGACTTCTGGTGAAATTTCTTCGCTTTTGCCTTACAATTTTATCGTTTAACATACAGTTTCTTGACACATTTCCATCTATATTTTAGCAAGAATCTTCGATAAGATATAAGTAAACTTGCCATGTTGAAAGCGACGCCGATGGATGGTCGACATTTGGTGATGCAAGCGGAGAGTACGGTGATTTTTAGGTCGGGCTAGTTTTATTTCTATCATGTACAAGTTAGACAAGTTAAGTTAGCCTGTTAACTGGCTAAAACGGGTCGTATTTAGTATTAGACACAAAAATCTTTAGACTTTACGCCAACGAAACCTCTATAGACTGCCAGGCTCTGCTTGGCCTTAGAATTCAGCCTTTCGTCAATGCAGAGTTGGTCAATGACAATGCCAATGGTGTATCTTACATTGTGTGAATAGTACAGCGCCAGCGAAGGAGTTTGGAGTAATTAATGGAAGGAGTTTGGAGTATGGGTACTAATAGTGTGTTGTGTTATCCGGGTAAATAGTGTACCATAATTGTAGATGGAATTGCGAGTGAATTTTATTCATTTAATTATCACACCTAACCAGGAGCAGTTAGAAAATGCAATATTTTTTTAATAAGACGAAAAGGCTTTGTGTGCGTTAATAGTTGAAATACCACGCAAAAATACATTGTGCCCAACTTTAATATTGAAATAAACTATAAATACAGTTTAAAACAAACATTTTATTTCTTACAAAATATACATGATCAATTGTCCAATGATATTTACAATAGCCGAATTCATATTAGAGACGGGAAACTCGTCTTAGACGGGAAACTCGTCTCAGACAGGAACCTCGTCTAATATGAATCCGGGGGCAGACGAGTTTCCCGTCCGAACTTTCCCGTCCGAACTTTCCCGTCTAACTTACCCGTCTAAACAGACGGGAAAGTTAGACGGGAATCTCATCTAGACTGGAAACTCGTCTTAAATTCGAATTTATCCGTCCCTAAATTCATATTCAGACGGGTTTTCACAGACGAGTTTCCCGTCGCTAATATGAATTCGGCTAATGTCAATAAATAAATTGAGTAACACGACGTGTCTGTTATATTGTTACTAGCTTATGAATATATAAACTGGATTTTTGAGATATCTTTCCATCTCAAACTTGTTTCCAGGTTGCGAAGACAATGACTTTGCTATGCATAGTTTGGTCACGAAAACGTTGATACAAAAATACTCTATTTTACAAGATACAAAGTGTTCATTTATTTCCAATCCATTACATTCTGATACGAAATGCGCTAAAAAAGAAAGGAACAATAGGGCCATTTATACGGAACAAAATAAGTCGCGACTTACATAAGACGCGACTTAAATAAGCGGAGTTATCGCATAAATGGTTCTCTACGGCTTTGGTCTTATTTATTTGCTATAGCTATAATGTTGTTTTGGTTGTTTTTGTTTTAATATGCAAGGCTAATAATTTTACGTTGTTTCAAGTTTCTGGCATGTGTAGTCAGACTTTTTGCCCAAAATTTCTTATTTAAGACGCGACTTAAATAAGAACAGCTAAAAGACCTGTTCTTATGTAAGACGCGTCTTATCCAAGACGCGTCTTACATAAGAATTTTGTACCTTTTATACGACAAACTCGCGTCTTACTTAAGTCGCGTCTTATGTAAGTCGCGTCTTATTTTGTTCCGTATAAATGGCCCTATAGTCATTGTCTATATAAAAAATTATTCATGTTTTGCAGTTATTGAAGGTTTGCTTAATATAGGGGTTAATTTATATTGGAGAGAAACAGTTTGCACAAGGGGTCTAATTGAAACGCTATTTCATGCATTTTAGACTTATCCATATCTATTTTGGCCACGCCCACTACAATTTTACTTCAACCGAAGCAATCTCGTAGCATCCAGCACCTAACCTGCGAACGGGCATACTCTGGGTACGAGATTGCAACCGAAGATTCTTTCCAAGAGGGGCGTAGATCATTTCTGTTACAAAAATATATAAAATACAAAATCACTAATAATATTAAGAACTACGAATACAAAATACATATTACAAAACAAATGGTACAATAGTCAAATAGCTAATTCGTCAGACTAACAGGAAAATTTCTATTGAAAGAATTTAAAGATTCGCTGTTTCTTACTTGCCAGGAATGCTACTCCAGATTTTAATTTCTATTATGGACATTTTCCTTTTTCAAACAAAGAAAAAACGTTCCAGTTGTTAGTTATTTTACACTTATTATCTCTGTGGGGCTGCGTCCATGCGGGATCATATGGAATTGGATTGACACGTGTCACACATATGTTGGATACATTGCTTCTGTATTATGCAAGTATTCGCACCCCCTCATTGCAACAGGAAATATTATAGCTGTATATGCCGAGCATATCAAGTATAGGATTGATTTCATGAGAATAGGGTTTTATCCAAAATTTTGGATAAAGAGACGTGATGAGTGGGAGGTGTCATATCTCGTCTTGGCAAACAGCCCCTTATTTAGCAAATTGCGCATGCTGCCTTCGATCCCTTGGGGATGAGGCAGCACTTTCCTTGCGATAGTAACTTCTATTGAATTTGCTATCAATTCTGTTAACGGTGTGTAAAGCCCGTTCTCCACTAGGCGAATTTATTCGCGCGAACAGATAAAAAGTAGGAAGCGATCCTACTTTTTCGCCGCGAATTTTTTCGCCGACCAATCACGTTGCCGGATTTCGGTTTTCGCTTCGCGTCGCGCGAAAAAATTCGCCTAGTGGAAAACGGCCTTAAATGAAGTATTGTAGTTTATTTGAGATTGAGGAGTGAGGAATATGAATCTGGAGTGAGGAATTTGAATTTAGAGTGATGAATTTGAATTTGAAGTGAGGAATTTGAATTTGAAGTGAGGAATTTGAATTTAGAGTGATGATTTTGAATCTGGAGTGAGGAATTTGAATTTGAAGTTATGAAATTTAAGTTGATATCTGATTTATTATTGACGTTGCACTTGTGGGCCACCGTATATAAATAATATGGAAACGGAGCAGAGATGTGACTACTTTTTCAAAGGTGATTATTTTGAATTTGGCACAAGAACTGAGTTTTAAATGCATGAATCGTACGATTTAGTATCAAGAATTTATTTTGTCTTAAATTTGTATATAGTTGTTTTAATTGGAGATTGTGGCGTCGGGAAAACAGAGTTGCTGACAAGGTTCACGCCAAACGGGTTTGATTTTAATGATTTAGAGTCAAAATGCACTATGGGCATAGACTTTAAGATTAGAAGCGTTCAAGTCGATAATAAAATGATAAAAGGTCAATTTTGGGATACTGGTAAGTTCTAACCTGAAGTTCAGCCCCTAATTTTAAATAGGGCCTTACCATTGAACTATAAATAAACTGGAAGGCTAACTCAGGGGGGGGGGGGGGTTGGGGAGTGTATTTTGTTTTTTCTGATTATAGCCATCAACACTGAACGTTATTATATAATTGGAGTTTATTGAAAAATCCATTACAGAAAATTCCCAAGACTTTAAATAAAAGGGAAACATTGGAAAACCACAATCACACCACCACCTGCCATTTCAGCTGTTTTGCATTTTTAAACATTTTTCGCTGAAGTCTCTAGCTCAATCAATAGCAATTTTCAATAGCTTCAATTTGATATATAGCCCGACGTTTGGGGTCAAGTATTTCTGCTCATAACTCAGAAAAACTATTTTGGCTTCATCAAATCATAGGCCTTCATCATAGCAGTTAGCCTTCCAGTTTATTTATAGTTCAATGGGCCTGATACAAAACCTGTCTAAACTGTGGGATTCCTGTCCATCTGGTAGGGCCTGAATTTCAGGTTAGGTAAGTTCCTAATGATGTGTTTTTACTCCATGTTTTTATTTTTTATTTTTAATCCCCAAAAAAAAACAACAGGCTTTTTATTAAGGCCCCTAGATTAGGATTAACTATTTAAATTTTGTCAGTTCAAAACTTTCAAAACAAAACAATAACTATAGTCTATAATCTTATATACAAAGTTGATTGTTCAATTGATTATACATAGTAGCAATGTAAATTACATGTATAACCATGCACTACCTAGCTAGTACATATTAACATATATATTATATATAATTAAATATACACACATATATATACATATATATATAGTTGCAATGTATACGTATAGAAACTTCAAAAAGTTCAAAATACATGAAATTGGAGTTTAATAGTTTATTAAGTCTAAGATTAAATACTGCAGTTTTGCAAGAGGTGCTTTTTAGCAGTGCTGTAAAAGTTACTCATTTTTTGGAACTAGTTACAGTTACAGTCCCAAAAAAGGAACTAGTTACTGGTAAAAGTTACACTTAAAAAAATGTAACTAGTTGCCATTACAAAATTACTTCAATATTTTTGTAACTAGTTATAAGTTACTTCAAGTAAGAAAAAACCCAGTTTTTTTCAACGTAATGATTAGTGGTCAGCAGATTGACGTTAATGATTTGTAAACGTTATGTAACCTTACCACTAATGGATCTCTCAACTGTGTTAAGCACTGAAGCATGCGTTGTCGTAGAAAACTGTGAGGAGAATTTCGAGAACTGAGAGGTGAATTGTAAAGTTTTAACCGCAAGAATGTAACGAAAAAAGTAACATAAACATTGGCTATAAAAGTAACACGTTATCGTTTCATTTTAGGCCAAAATGTAACTTGTTACAGTTACCTTATTTTTAAAGGTAACTAGTTACCGTTACAGTTACTCAAAAAGTAACGATTACTTGTAATTTCGTTACTTGTAACGAAGTTACTTACAGCACTGCTTTTTAGTTATTTTTTTAAAAGATTGAAGGGATCTAAAATTTTTATATAATTATATTTTTTCTAAACCATTCCAAATATCCACTCCCTTGTTTGAAAGAGTATGTTTTACATAATTGGTTCTTTTATAAGATTTATGAAGCTGTGATTTTTTCCTTATATTGTGTTGATGAACATCTAAGTGTGAAATAGTTGGTAAATGCTTCGGGTAAATTTTTTAAGTTAAAATATCAAAACAGAAATAAACTGGTTAAAAAGTCATTCACTTGAAAAATGTTTAGTATTTCTAAATGTTTGAAAATAGTTTCAATGTGTTCAGAGTATGACTTAGAAATTGTTATGTGCATAATTTTCTTTTGTATATTCATTATCTTTTGAATTCTTGTTTTATACGTATTACCCCAGATTAGGTTCCCATAAATCAGATATGGATAGACCAGTGCATAATAAACTAGCTTTAGAGTATTAAGATTAGTAAAATGACGTATTCTGGAAATTTTACTTGATGCTTTTATAATTTTATTAGAGATTAAATTAATATGTTGTTTCCAGGTTAAGCACTCGTCAATAACAACGCCTAGAAATGTAGTGTCTTTAACTTGCTTAATTATTTGTTCATTTATAGAAATAGTTACAATGTTTTTGTTTTTTCTTCGATGATCTAAATATCATAAATTTAGTTTTCGCTGTGTTTATAGATAATTTATTTATATTCAGCCAATCCGATATTTTATTGATTTCTATTAATTTGCATGACTTCATTAAGTGTTTTTAGACAGGTATGACTATAAAATACATTAGTATCATCTGCAAATAGAATAATAGAAACTATTTTACTGCAGTTTTGAATATCATTTATATATAATAGAAACAGCAGTGGCCCAAGTATTGATCCTTGGCAAATATTTTGTGCAGACAACCTTTTACTACTTGCTAATATGATTTCTGTTTTATGAATTGTGTTTTTAGCTGGGCAAGAAAGCTACATGTCAGTGACTAGGCAGTAAGTAATTCATTGTATTATATAGTTTTATTTAGTGTGTTTATTTAGGCATCAGGCCATTTTGTAAGCAGGGCCTTTTTATGAGTTGAACATAAAATCATGTCAAGACTGGTCTTATATCAATTAATTAGTTTCAATATTTAGTTGGTTCGGGTGTAAAATGCTACTTATTGTGATGTGCAAGGGTGAAGAGTCTATCAACAAATAGATTCTGCTTTCTACCACAGTGCAGACAAATCTCACAACTTGTCAACAAGATGTGTTTGCAACAGGCTTGTAGCAAGCTTGTCAACAAGTTGTAACAATGCTGTTATTTTATCCAGTTGCTACAAGGTTGTCACTCACAACTTGTTGACAAATTATTGAATTGCAAGACAATAACAAGTTGTTGGAACAACTTGTAACAAGTCTGTTGAGCTCAACAACCTTGCAGCAAGTTGTCAACAAGCCATTGACAACATGCCAACAAGCCATTGACAACATGTCAACAAGCTGGGAACAAGCAGTGCGAACACATCTTGACAAGTGCAACAAGTCTGCTGCAGGTTTGTTACAACTTGTGTGTTTTTACGTGTGTAGACTAGGGTCTATCCAGTTTATTATGAGATCAGTTTTGAACTTGAAATGGAAAAGCGAGCGAGACTTGAAACTTGGCATTAATTAATGTTCAGAATATTAACGAGCATCTTACCTTAAATCATTCGGGGGGGGGGGGGAGACTTTCTCCAAGCCTAGCTAATTTTAATAAATATTACTACGTTTTATTAATAGTCTTAATACTATATACTTTTGTTTATGTTTTTGTTAAAACATGAGCAGCCGATCTTTATCTGATATACAAACTGGAGCTGAAGGCGAGAATTCGTCATGAATTATTAATGAGCTTTTTAAATGACGATGATATACTATAGTGAAAGAATGGCACAAAATAACGTACTACCGGTAAATGTTATAGATAAAAGTGATTTAAATTAATACACCCTTAGGACCACCTTAATTGGAATGGATTTCAATTTCCCTTTCACGGGCTATGGGGAGAAAAACAGAACATTCTTCTTCAACACAATCATAAAAAAGAATTTTGGATTTTTACCAATAAATGTGCAAATAAGCTTTAACACGAAAACGAGGCTCCCCCTGGGCAGCGCAGGAGCCTCGTTTTCATGTAGTAAATCAATTTTTCTCATTTCTTCAAACAAAAATTGCTTCAAAGCTTAAATTGTGTGAAACGTAATTTTCCAAATATATGCATTTGAAAATTGAAATCTTGCTTTAATATCCTCAGTGTGTGCTTATCCCACTCCTGACAAACAGCCATATTTTTGAGATCAGTGAGAGGAGGCCCACCCATGAACCATAGTCACGCGCCCGCGATCATTTATGAACTTTAGACTTCGCTAATGCTTTCCTTTCCCCGGGAGGCTGTAAATAGCCGGGTGGAATTAGTATCCTCGCCCCGGGCTAACGCCCGGAACGGCGCTTCGCATTGAAGAAGAAGAACTAATATAAGTAAATCTAAAGGAGAGCAAATTAATTTGAAGACTGAAATTACTAACAGTTTGAAGTAAAAACAGTTCATCGGCAAAACAGTTTAGTTATTAAAATGAAGTACATTTCAAAACATTTTACGAAGCGATTCAGGGTTAAATTTTACATTAAATCAAAGCTCACAAAATCATACCTACAGTACATATTTTGGAAATTCATTGTTGTATAGTTAAAAGCAATAATCTTTCAATTGTTTTTGCCGTGTTGCACAAAAGTATAATAAAAATAAGTATCCGACGAGTCGTCCCCAGTCATCTTTGTGAGCACGCGCGGGCGACGCGTGGCGAATTGGAAAGCGCTTCTTCCTGGTAGAATGACAAATTATCGGCCATAATGCAGCTTGATAGGCTAAAGTGAAAAACGAAAATGTTGCTTAATGTACTTAGGAAATATTTCTTTAAAAATCTTGTCTGGATGGAGTTTTCTTCTCTGAACTTTTAAAACAAATAGACCTTATAGACGTGCAGAAATACATAAACTAAAACAGCGGGTTAAATTGGTTAGTGCTAATCCAAATTTGAACAACCGGCCCCTGTAATGTATGTACTCTAATTTCCACAGGTATTTTCGTTATGCAGCGGGTGCATTGTTAGTGTATAATATTGCAAAACGTTCGACATATGAGGGTGTGGAAAGATGGCTGAAGGAGCTACGAGACCATGCTGACAGTAATATTGTCATCATGTTAGTTGGCAATGAATGTGATCCGCAGCATCTTAGGGAGGTCCCAACTGACGAGGCTAAAGCCTTCGCAGGTAATTTGCTTCAGATTTCCACTTGACAATCATCTGAGTATGCCAGGTTTTTTCCAGATGTTTTTTTTACCATAACTGCCTCGCCCTAATATAGATTATTTATTCAGCAAGATACCTTCTGATTGATCATCTTTTAATATAAGTGTGACTTATAACTGGGATCCTCAAACAAACTTTTCCATTGTTTAGTTGTGAAAATATGCCGAATAAAACCATCATAATATAGATGGAGCCAATATGTAGGTTTATAACTTACAATTCAGTTGTATTTTTTTTAGAAAAGAACAGTCTATCTTTTATTGAGACGTCAATCGTAGATTCAACAAATGTTGAACAAGCTTTCCAAAATATTTTAACAGGTAAAGCTCTTTACTTCATCAGATTATTATTTTACAGATAATCGTTGTGTTCTAGTTGGATATACCCTTATCAAAAGTATGTTCGCTATGCAGCATTGATTTTGTTATTGAGACTTTACAATCTTCAATTATCTTATAACAAGTAACATGTTTACACCATCTCTCTTAACTATTTTATAAATATCTTGATACAGAGTTTGTAACTTGAAAGAACTGAATGTTCTTGAATTTGAAAACAATAATTCAAGGCCTTGAATGTCTTGGAATTTATAAAGAAGTGCTTGAGAGTCCTTAAATTCTTCTTGCTTTAGTTTATGGATATTTTCTGAAATTGTTTGACATTCAAAACGGACATTTTGTTGAATTGATTTTGTTTGTTTATATCTGAGAAAGCTGTTTGAAATTCATTAAAGTTGCGTGTTGAACAATTCAACGTCAGATTTTACTGATTTCTAACCCCTTCTCTTCAGTATTTAGTCATTGAATTTGCTGATACATGGCCTTGAATGTCCTTGAAAAGTTCTTGAATTTGACTTTCTCTGACATGTACAAACCCTGTTGATAAGAATTTGATTTTGATACTCGATCACAAGGCTCTATAGTATGGGCTCTAGTTCATAGTACATGTGCTGACCAACTTTCTCTAATCTATTTTGCAGAAATCTATCACATTGTATCACAGAAACAAATCAGTGATACTCCTTCAAGCAACCACCCTAGCAACAACGTACAGACGATTTATGTTGCGCCCACAACAGACTCTGACAAGAAAAAAGTGAATTGTTGCAATGCTTGAACAACGTCCGTAGCATCATAGAATTCCAATTACGTTGAAATTAAACCAAAAACATCCCCTTTTTACGATCAATCAAATGTTCATACCCTTCAATACAGCATCTTAAAATACGATGTTATAATTATATAGAAAATGTGAAAAATATAAATATTTAACCAAGTAGATTTTGCATACGAAACTAATTTGTGATAACATAAGAAATTTGATTCCACTTGTTATTATATCATTGAATTATTTTGTCTTTTATGTAAGTTTTGTTTGTAGTAATATGGTATATTTGTAGAACAATGTTGTTGGCTGGTGTTTATTTGTGGTTAGATTATTTTTTAAGGCCTTACATAAGAGCAGGGGATATGTGGCATAAGGGCAGAATGTTTTAGTTTGAGGCCCATTTACACAGGCAGTTTTTGCAATTATCGTTTTCTGAGTGGAGGAATTGTGGATGTTCAGATAAAAGATACATCCACTCAGAACATTCCTAACTCCCCTTGTTCACATGCATCCCAAGAAGAAACTTGTACTAGAAGAAATTGCAGCAAAAATTGTCACTGATATGTATTGACGAACTATCCGGGGGGAGGGGGGTTCGCACAAAAACGGAAAGAATTTGCCAAGAAAAAGCAAAGAAAAATACCTTTAAAATTTAAAATTCTATAAAAAGTTCCAGCTCAAGCAGAAAATCCTTGCTGAAAATCCCCCTGGTTTATATTATCAAAGTTTCTGTGATCACAGTAAAAGTATAAAAGCGTTTATAAATTTAGTGAATATTTATGAGCAGTTAATGTATGCAAGGTCTCGCACAGTTGGTCTCACATTGAATTCCCATGGGAATAAAAACCAATCGTGTAGAGCTTGTTTGACCAATCAGGGTGACTCTTGTAAATATCCACCAACCAGAACCCTGTATTCTCTGAAAGATGCATTCCGATGAAATTTTTTACTAATAAGCGAGTTGCTTGGGGAAAGAAGTACTTTTAAGACTTGTAAAGAACTTGAAATTGGAAGTTAAAAGCGACAAAGAAGTACAAAATGGCTTGCTTTGAAGTTGAATTACTCGTGTTCGAACGAAAGGTAAATACATTAATAGCCATATTAACTTCAGACAATATACTTGATTTCTTTCTAAAGCGAACTGTTCATGAATTGAAATGAGCCCGACTTCTGGTGAAATTTCTTCGCTTTTGCCTTACAATTTTATCGATTTTCGTTTAACATACAGTATTTTATTCAATGGGCAGAGTTTATGTTTGTTTCTTGACACATTTTCATCTATATTTTAGCAAGAATCTTCGATAAGATATAAGTAAACTTGCCATGTTGAAAGCGACGCCGATGGATGGGTCGACATTTGTGATGCATGGGAGAGTACGGCGATTTTCAGGTCGGGCTAGTTTTATTTCTATCATGTACAAGTTAGACAAGTTAAAGTTAGCCTGTTATTTACTATTAGACCCAAAAATCTTCACTCCAACCGGTGAAACCTCTGCATCCTCTAGCTCTACTCCTGCTTAGAATTGGGCGTAGGAACTGATCAAAAGATTTGGAAGGTGCAATGGACGTTATTGACTAAAATGTTTTAAAAACATCGAAAACAAAAAGGGCACCTTCAATGTTATTTATAGGAATTATAGCGACATTAGCTCATTATAACTTTTCATCAAAAAAGGGCACTTTTGGTCCTTTGATAAAATGGGGGTCCAACGCCATTCAGGTGTATCTTCGTTGTGTGACTTGCATAGTATGGGTAAATAGTACTGTGTTGTATGGGTAAATAGTGCACCATAATTGTCGGATAGAAATTTCGAGTGTGGATTTTATACATTTATCACACCTAACCAGGAGCTGTTACAAAAAATGCAATATTTTTTTCAGTAAGACGAAAAGGCTTTCTGTGCGTAAGTGCGTTAATAGTGGAAATACCGCGCAAAAAATACAATGTTCTCAACTTTATTTAGATTAAATAAACTATAAATACAGTTTTTAACAAACATTTTATTTCTTACAAAATATACATGGTCAATGTCCAATGATATTAACAATGTCGATAGTTAAAGCACAGTTCGGCCTTTTGAATGATGGGTTTTAAGGCGCATTACAACTCTTTTTTTAATCGAAAAAACTAACTAGAAAAATCAATTAAGCATAATTCAAGATCAGTGATCTCAATATTTTTAAACATTTTTTTAACATTTTTAATGTTAAAAACATTGAGTTCACTGATTTTGAATTATGCTTAATTGATTTTCCTAGTTTCGATTAAAAGGGTTGTAATGCGCCTTAAAAACCATCATTCAAAAGGCTGAACTGAGCCTTTAAATTAAGTAACATATATATAAACTGGATTTTTAAGATATCCTTTCCATCTCAAACTTGTTTCCAGGTTGCGAAGACAATGACTTTGCTATGCATAGTTTGGTCACGGAAACTTTCATACAAAAATAGTCTATTTTACAAGATACAAAGTGTTCATTTATTTCCAATCCATTACATTCTGATACGAAATGCGCTAAAAAAGAAAGGATCAATGTCATTGTCTATATGAGAATGATTCATGTTTTCCAGTTATTGAAGGTTTGCTTATAGGAGTCAATTTATATTGGAGAGAACAGTTGGCCCAAAATACAGGGGTGTAGGTGAGTGGGGGTGTAGGTGAGTGGGGGCTGGTGTAGGTGAGTGGGGTGTGTGGGTGAGTGGGAGGTGTAGGTGAGTGGGGTGTGTAGGTGAGTGGGAGGTGTAGGTGAGTGGGGGTGGGGGCGAGTGGGGGTGGGGTGTAAGTGAGCGGGGGTGTAGGTCAGTGTGTGTGTGGGGGGTCTAATCAAAATGCTATTTCAGGCATTTTAGAGATGTTTTATGATAATCTGAATGCCACAGATTTGGTATATTTTATTATGCCCCCCCCCCAGTGTCTCCTCAGTTTTGAAAGGAAAAATGGCCTAAGGGCACTTGAAAGAAGAGTTTTAAATCATACTCGACAAAATCTGGAGCTTTAGATATAACATGTTCAAATTCAGCAAATGAAAGTTGATTGTCCTCATCCAAATCTGCCTCAATAAATATCTGTAAAAGAGTAAAAAAGTCGTTAGCTTGTCTAACATTGTATTTAATATGGTTTCCAATCACTTTTGTAGTTTTAAAGTAGCAAAAAATGTTTATGCATACTTTGTCAATCACGTTTTGAATGCTATCTTCAGTCAGTCTTTGTTCTCCACAAAGTTTTGTGATCATTTTCTTCAAGTCATTTTCACATATATAGTCATCCTCATTGAAATCTAAGAAAGATATGAACAAAGGATTGTCAAATTTCTAGACACAATAGAGTGTGGGCAGTATTGCCATGCCCGAGTACCTCTGAGCAACATGAATGTTTTATGTTGTTGTTTTATAATAATTCATACCATATATTCTGAATGCATACTCCACTTTCACACTCTTTGGGGCCTACATAATCAGTACAAAATATATTGTCAAATTCACCAATGAAAATAGGGTATAGTACGTAATATTATGTAAGCACTGTTATTGAAGGTACTATTTATTTTTGCTTGAATACAAGTATTATTCAATCAAAGATCTCCTGACTGCTAGCTTCTTTATGAACATTTTCCTAAGATGAAACACTCCAGTTATTAGATAAGATCATGCATGTATGCACTTACAGCCTCACTAAACACTGACATCATATCAAGAAAATCTTCAAATGTTAGTGCTCCATCACCAGACGAGGAAAACACCTTGCAGATACGGTCTCGAAATGGATTCACCTGCAAGTATAACCAGAAATAAGGGGTTGTTCATATATTAGCACTGTAACCCACATTTGGTTAATTTTATGATAATTATTTGCCTCTTGATAATCATTCATAAAGTAATCGATCTCTTACATGCAGTTCAGGCAAAGTAAGTATTTTTCTCATTGGTAACTTTGCATTCTTGTCCAGTCGTACAGTCTCTGGGTCAAGCTGACTGAAACGCTTGTGCACACTAAAACATTTTGAATAAATGAAAATATTTTATTATTATACAATTACTTTATGGTTTCCGTGTTTGGATGGCCTGATCCAAACACGCGGGAATGTTGCGAGAGTTAAGAAAAGCGCGCGAAAGCACGAGCCGAAGGCGAGTGATTTTGCGCGCTTTTCTTAACTCGA